GCCGAAGGGACTCAGCACTCACCTCCCTGGCTCCATTCTCCTGCTCACCCCCCACCCTCAGATGTTATCCCAGTAAAATAATCTATTTGTTTTCACTTAAATCAGATAGTTCAGGTGGGAAGGATTCGTAAAGGCAGCCTGTGGGGGGTTGGGATGCTCAGGAACAGCTGCTCCAAAGAGGCGCTTCAAGCAGAAGCCTGAGGAGACCTGGGGAACTGAGCGCTCACGGCAGAGAGCGCACCTGCAAAGACGCTAAAGCAGGGGGGTTTGAAATGTTGAGGGGGTGCAAAGCGGTGAGCGGCTGGAGCCCAGTAAAGGGAGTTTTGGGGGGTGAAGAAGAGTAAGATCTAGTTCATGCAGAGCAACAGAAAATCTTTGGTGTTTGCTAGTAATAGAAGTTACCAAAGGGTTCTGAGCAGAAAAGCTGTATAATCGTAACTTTTTGTTTAAAAGTTTACTATGGCTTCCAGGTAGCCAATGAGCTCAGGACCACCGGGATGGATGCAGTGTGACCAGCAGGGAGCCAGGAGCCGAGGCCCAAATCCGCAACCTGCACGCTGTGTGGCCTTGGGCACCTCACTCAACCTCTCTGTGCCTCTTTCATCTATGACATTGGTTGGCCTGGTTTGAATCCTAGTTCAATCACTCACCTGCAACAACCACAGGATTTCTGACCAAGGCCTGGTTGCACAAATGCCTCAGGCCTCAGAATTCTCCTTGGTGAAATGAATAAGAACAGCATCTAAGGAGTCATTGGGAGGGTAAATTTAGCTATTTTATCTACAGGTTTTAGGACCGTGCCGGCATCCAAGAAGTGAGTTATTATTATTGTAATGCTTCCTTTTTTCAATGATAAAGGGCTGCTCTCCAGGCCTCCTAGGGTTCTGGTGCTGAGGCCCGACATCATGAATAGGAACCTGGGAGGAATTCAGTAGCTACCTGGTCTTTTTTGTTTTCAGATCTGACTGGAAACTCCTTCTCTCCTCAGTGGTGCCAGCCACCCAGCCACCGCCCCAGCTAACTGCTCTCCATAACAAAAGGCCAGGCGCTGTTGGCCTGGGGTCTCTACCCCAGCAACCGGGGAACCCCTGCTGGCTGGAAACCACAGAGGCTGCGTTTTCATTCCCAGTCGCTGGTTTCTGTGACTAGAGTATCTAAAGAAAACAAGACCCAGTTAGACCCCAAAGATTGAGGGTCTCTCCAAATTTGGGAATCTCAGAGAGGAAGGGAAGGAGCACACTTTTGGAGTTTCCTCTGAAGTTCAGGGAGGTACCGCTTGGCCCAGCCTGCCCTAAGAGGAACCTGTGAGTGCCCTTGGAGGCTCTGGGAGGAGCTGGGGTACAAAGGCACAGTTTTCAAAGCCCTTTTCCGTTAAGTTTAAGAACGGGATGAAAGGATCTGAAAGTATTAAAAAGAACACCTGAACACTGCTGATTGGGTTTTCACACTCCCCTTTGCCCATCTTACTCTGGATGGTACACAAGGTCCTCGAAGGTGGGAAGACGGGTGCTTTAGTTATAAATGTGCCCAACTGGCCTCAGCCTCCGCTCAACCTGACATCGGCCCCCAGCCCCCTAGACACCCGAGAACGAAGGGTGCTTAGCTGTGTGCGGGCCCATAGCCGTTCCTCTGCATTGTTCCGAACATATTTCTGACCTGGCTCCCAGCTGGAAAGCAGGTGCTGACTTTGACCGGAAAATATTACAGGCACCAGCAGCCTAGTTGTTTCCCTTAATCCCACGCCCAGCAGGAGGCAGTTCCCAGATGGAGACTTGCCCTGGGCACAGCTTCCTCAGCCCTGGGAGTGAGGCCTGAGGCGCCTGCCGCCCTTCGCAGTGAGCTGTTCTGCTCAGAAGTAGATTCTTCTCATCATCTCTGTTCTCATAGATATCAATGTTCTGGATTTAACAGCCATCAACCACCGAGATCTAGATACTTCCAGATACAGGTCAATCGTGTTTTTTTAGCATGTCTTCCCCACCCAGATCTAGATACTTCCAGATGTAGGTCAATCATGTTTTTTTAGCATGTTTTCCCTATGCTTGGGCCCCACCACCCCCTGGAACTCCAAAATAACCCAGACAGTTTACTACTGTTTAATCAAAATTATCCCTAGCTTAGTTCTCTACTAATAAAATTAAATGCCAAGAAGGAAGCTACCATAAGAAATCTGTAATTAACACTTAGTATTGAAGGAGTCTACCTCCAATGTGACCTGGCTAAGCCACAGATTCCAGCTTTGAGAAATGCCCTGTTATTGGGTTGCACCTGCTCACAACTGGTTCTCCTTAGGAGAAAAGGCATCTCATTGGACAGACTGCCCTGTCCAAGCCCAGGTCCGACCCATTCAGGGCCTGGCTACTAGCCCTAAGACCCAGGACTTTCTGTGGGAGTCAGGGGGCTTCCTTTCCTCATTGGCAAATTGTATTGGCCTAGATCAGTGGCTTTCAACCGTGGGACATTTGGCAATGTCTGGAGATACTCTTGATGGTCACTCATGGCCAGGGCCAGGGGGAGAGGGAGGGACTCTGGAGTCTAATGAGTAGAGATCAGGGATGCTGCTAGACACCCTGTGATGCAAAGGGCCACCTCTACAGCAAAATTATCTGGCCTCAAATACCCATAGTGCTGATGGCAAGAAACCCTAGACCAGAAACCTCATCTTTCAGGTTTCTTCTAGACAAGCCCTAGCTACCTCCTTGGAGATGGTGAGCTGCCTGTGGGCCCCTTGGGGACTATAACACCCAGGGCTCCACGTGAGGACTGTTGCCAGCTGGTGAAACTTTTCCAGCAAATTTCTTTCTGCAATAGAAATCATCCGGCACTGAATCTCACTTTAATCTAAATGACAGAACTGTTACTCTAATAAAATGCTCATGTGCCTGGAGACCCTCCCCAAAGGATGACTGCTTCATTCCCACCCTTTCAGATCAGTGGTGGTACAAGGCCAATGGAAAGTCAGTCGCTCTCTGGCCAGCGTGGCTCAGCAGTTGAGCACAGACTTGTGATCCAGGAGATCGAGGTTCAATTCCTGGTCAGGGCACATGCCCAGGTTTCAGTAGGCAGCATGCAGGAGGCAGCTGATCAATGACTCTCATCATTGATGTTTCTACCTCTCTCCCTCTCCCTTCCTCTCTCTGAAAACAAAACTGATGTCTAAAAAGCATTAATGCCAAAAAGTGGCCAGAAGTCATCCCACTTAGAGTTTATTTCACGTGACCTCAGCACGCAGTGTATTTTCTTGGGGAAAATGTTCACATTATAAATTATTTTACAAATATAGAACTGTGTTAGAAACAATATTTATAAAAATCCACATGATTTTCACATAGAATACTATCCACGGAAACTGGGTTTTGTTCAGTGTGGGGTAGGCGGTCTCTGGTTGTCTTCTGCGGCAGACCTTGCAGGCTCAGTTCCGGCCCAGCCCCGCAAAGCGAGGGCCACAAGCACGCAAGTGGTCATCTTTTTGCTAGTGGAGGGTCTTGCCTTCAATTTGTAAAAAACGCAACCTCTTTGAAACACAGTAAGACCAGATATGCCTGTTTATCATATTTAAACAATAATGATGATGTTACTTGTACCTCAATAAACTGTTTAAAAAACTAGTTTTCTATAAGTTATTTCAAAATAAAAATTTAAGAATAATGCTGTGAGTTTCAAAAAAGAATACACAGAGGAAAGTTAAATTTTTTTTACAATGTACTTGTGTTTCTTTTTTTAAAAAAATTAAAACCCCAAACCAACAGCACGGTACTAAGGCAATTAGGACATTACTTTTGGGTAAGTTCAGGCAGACACTGGGTGTCTGTGCTGGGCTCTGGGAAGCTGACCATACAAATCATTCAGATGAAAATACCTCTTGAGAAGTAAAATGGAGTGCTAAAAATAAATTATATTTTTAAAAAATTTACCAGTTTATTTTTTTTAAAACTATAAAAAGTCAATTTAAAAACTACTTTTAATAAAATTCTAATACTTTGTTTAAAGAAAACCCCGGGGCACATGCTAAAAGGGACAGGATGTGAGGCCCCAGGACTGCAGAGCGGCAGAAGTAACGCAGAGGTGAGGCCCATCCTTGCTGCTGAGGGAACGTCTCATGTGATACGTACTCCAAGGGGAATCTTTGGTCAAATGTGATCTAGCTCATTCCTACCCTCTACACACTGTGTCTGCCCTTGTTTCCCAGGAACTAGAGCACAAAGTTACCAGCAGCAGCTCTGGAGGCAGACCGCCTGGATGGGACCCTGCCTCTGACCGACTGATTACCTGCACGGCTGGAGTGAGTCACCTGACATCCTGGCCTTTCACAGCCCTCATACGAAAATGAGGCCCGCAAGAACACCTATCTCCCGAGGTTGGTGTGGGGATTGAGTCAAGTATCCAGAACAGCGCCTGGCACACAGGGCCTGCTGGGGTAGCTTTGCTGCTCTTAGTATCTCCCGCATACCAGACCCTGAGAATAAGCAGAGGGGACTCATGAGCCGGGTAGAGCTCAACAGTTTGGGGGTTTCCTAGTACAGTAGTTTTTAAACAAGTGGCCAAGAATTCAAGTGGAGGTTTCCTATGAAAATACAAACCTGATTTTTCTTGGAAAACCAGATGCTGCGGGCAGGAAGGAAATCATTAGCTGCCCACAGCAGCCCTCAGCTGGTCAGTCCCAACCACTCCCTGCTGCTTCAGTTGCCAACTGCCGTCTTTTTCCTACTCAGTAACTCCATTCACTTGTTTTTTCAGCCAGCCCACGTACACATCTGAGCTTGTAACCGATACACAGTGACGAACAGGACAGATATGATCCCTGTCCTCACAGGGCTCAGAGGTGCGGTCCCAGCACAGGGTGGGGTGGCTGTCTCTCCAGGGAGGCCCTATTCCAGGCTCCTCCCAAGTGTGGTCGATGGGCCAGATCACCCAGGAGCTCCAGAGAAATGCAGAACCTACCCCAGACCTACACCTTGGGATCCGTGCTTTAACAAGATCTCAGGTGAGCACATTCAAGTCTATACCTCAGAGCCCTCCCGGGGGTAGATGAGGCTGTTGACCATGCTGAAGTTGTAGAAAGGGGGGCTGAAGGGGCTGCTCTGCCCCGCGCCGGTGCTGGCAGGGAAAGGGCTGTAATAGGAGGATCTCTGGCTGCTGCCGGTGCTGGTGCTGAGCTGCAAGGTGTCTGCTGAGGCTTCCGAGACTGAGCTGGCGGGAAACGTGCTGCTGGAGGGCAGGTGGGCCCCCTGGATCCCTAGGTGGTGGCCTCCAGTGACAGCTCGCTGGGTGCTCCCACTGCTGCTGACGCTTAAGGTGCTGAGGCTGCTGAAGAAGGTGTTGAGGCACGGGGTGGAGGTGAGCACGGGGCCTCCCGGGGAGGAGACAGTCCTCTTGGCGCCCTCGGGGGGCTCTGGGGACTGGGGGGGCCTTAGCAGAACGGAGGGGCTGTCGCCTTCCGGCTTCCCGCCCACTCCGGACCCCAACCCTGAGGAGACACCCTCCTCTGCTTTTGATGTCCCTGCAGCCACCGTGGAGCTGCTGCTGGCCTCTGAGCGGCGCTTCCGCTTCCGGCGGAAGTTCCCGTTGTCAAACATCTTCTCACAGTTTGGATCCAGGGTCCAGTAATTACCTTTCCCTGTGGAGGAGAGAGGGACAGGTGTTAGGAGGAGCTAGTTCGGGCTCCGCATTCGGCCTGTTTCCCGAGGAGGGGGCAGACCTGCATTAACCCTGGGGAAGACCCTCCGCCACTGTGTTGTCTAGAGTTAGCCTGTGGGGGAGATTTTATTTCCCTCGAGGAGGAATCTGGAACGAAGCGATCTGTCCCTTTCAGCCCCTCCTGGCAGTGTCTGCTACTGAAATTTTGAGACCCAGTTCCATTCACAAGACACTTATAAAGGTACCCAACCTTCCCTTCTAGGTTCAAACCGAGTGCCCTGCAGAATCCTGGCTCACTCACACTTGACCTCACTCCTTTACTTATAAAAATAAGGATCAGGATGGTCCCCGCCTCACAGGTTGGCTGTGCGGGTTAAGTGATACCTTTGCTAGTAGCTGGCAGCACACAGTAAGCACTGCGAAAAACAGCATCCGCTGTTTTTTTTTGCTGACAGCGTACAATATTTGTCCTTAAAAACACTCCACTGGAAAAAAGGCAGCCTCAAATACCCGATCCTGTGCCTTGCTGAACACAAAGGACAGCAGTTATTACTGATCAACCCCCTTTTCCCGTCTCGGATGGCATGTTGGAGAGCAAGGGAACTCCTCCCCCAGGGTCTCCGTGCCCCTTCACCCCCGGCCCGGGGCGCCCCCGCAGCTCTTCCAAGTTTTCCCTCCTCTGGGCACATCTCAGGGATCAGGGCCCCGTTTAATGCAGGCAATGCTACTCTCCCGCTTAGAAAATTTCACTCGCAATTTATCTAACACAATCATCTTGGAGGATTTCACCTCCCAAAAGCTCTTTTCACTTCTGGTAAAAACACCTGAGGGTATCTAAAAGTACATTAAGCACTCATCTTGTACCGAGTGCCTTACCCAGACAGCCTGGGTTACTCCCCCCGCACTATGGAGATAGGCAACTTATCGCCTCCATTTTTCAGATGGGGAAAGTGAGGTGCAGACTGGTTGGGAACCTGCTGAATTCCCAGCTAACAACAGTAGAGCCAGGAACGCGCTAGACTCTGCATCCTTCACTAACCACTGCTATGCTGCCTCCCCAAGCTAACACGCACTCCTCACCCACTTTCTCCACTGACACACTCTCTGCAAACAGTTGCAGGAAAAAATGTGTTCATCTAACTACCAGCTCAACAATAACACCTGCACTTATCCGGATCATGTGCCACCCTGGTACCAAGCACTCTGACAAGACACTATACAGATCCTTGAACTTCTGGAGGGTCCTAAGGAGGGGACGTAAAGTTTACATGACCATCTCAGGGGATGTAGAGGCCGGGTTGGAAGATGTGCCCTCGAGAACTACCTGGTCCAATGCGCTAATCACAAGCCACAGGTGGCTGCGGGGCGCCTGGGGAGTGGCCAGTCCAAAGCGAGATGTGGGGCAAGACACACAGGGTTCTGCAGACTTGGTGCCAAAAAGTCCCGTAAAGTACCTCACTAATAACTGTTACGTTTGTTATAGGTTGAAACAATATTTTGGTTTACATAAAAAACACAGTGAGGTTAGGCTCGCCGGTGTCTTTTTGCTGTTTTAATGTGGCTACTAGAAAATTTACAACCACGTGTGGCTTGCGCTGTATTTCTATTAGAAACCACCGCTCTAGCCTGACTTCGGTGTGAGTGCTCCAGGGCATTTATATAACTTACACAAAATTCTGGAGCTCTGGAGTGTGCAACTGCTTTGTTCCTATGGCAGCTTTGCCCCACCTCCGTCCTGGGCACCCCCTGGTCCTGTTTCTCTCTAGTTTTCCGTTTCTCCACCCCAGGTAGAGGGAACCCGTCCCAGCGCCCAGCCCTCTCACCGCGCGGCTCAGATCAGAGAGAAGCACATTCGGAGTTTCAAGTTTTGCATTTGCAAATACTTAAGGTACCAAAGCCACACAGTGCAGGACTCCGCTAGAGTTCTCCGGCGCCTCTGCCCCGTCTCCGTGCCCCTCCTCTTACCCCTCAATCCTCTCTTCTCAAGGCAGGCGGAAGGTCAGGGGGCTTGTGCGGTTTTTTAAAAAAACAAAAACAAAAACAAAGTGTATACATACACACACACACACACACACACACACCCCTTTACTGATTTCGGGGAGAGGAAAGGAGCGGGAGAGAGGGAAACATCAGTGATGAGAGTCGCTGCCGGCTGCCTCCCGCGCGCCCACCGGGGGTCGAGCCCTCCCCGGGCACGTGCCCTGACCGGGGGCGCGGCCGGGGTCGCCTGGTCCCAGGGGGACTGCCGGGCACGCT